AAAAGTGTTTTTTGAAAATCACAAAATTCCTGTAATTTGTGTGAGGGGTAGGTTAGGATAAGGGAATAGAATATATCATTAACCTAATATAAAATGTGTCTGTGCGTGTGTGTCTGTGTTTGTGCGTATGTGTGCGAGTACAAGTTTACGTGCGTGTGCGTGTGTGCGAGTATAAGTTTACAAGCGTGTGTGTGTGTGTGTGCGCGTATGTGTGCACGTGCGTGTCTGTGTATAAGTGAGTATAAGTTTACGAGTGTGTGTGCTTGCGTGTCTGTCTGTGTGAGTGAGTGAGTGAGTGTGTGTATGTGTGTGTGAGTATAAGTTTACGAGTGTGTGTGCTTGCATGTCTGTCTGTGTCAGTGAGTGAGTGAGTGTGTGTATGTGTGTGTGAGTATAAGTTTACGAGCGTGTGTGTGCGCGTGTGTGTGAGTGTAAGTGTGCGCGTGTGTGTGCGAGTATAAGTTTACGAGCGTGTGTGCGTATCTGTGTGTGAGTGAGTGAGTATAAGTTTACGAGCGTGTCTGAGTGAGTGTAAGTGTACGCGTGTGTGTATGTGTGCGTGCGTGCGTATGTTTGCGTGTCTGTGTGCGTGTGTGTGCGTGAGTATAAGTTTACGAGCGTGTGTGTGTGTGCGCGCCTGTGTGAGTGAGTGTGTGTGTGTATAAGTTTACAAGCGTGTCTGTGAGTGAGTGTAAGTGTACGGGTGTGTGTATGTGTGTGAGCATAAGTTTACGAGCGTGTGTGAGTGTACGCGCGTGCGTGTCCGTGTGCGCGTGTGTGTGTGTGAGTGAGTGAGTATAAGTTTACGAGCGTGTGTGCGTGTGTATGTGTGCGAGTGTAAGTTCACGCATGTGCGTGTCGGTGTGTGTGTGTGTGTGTGAGAGAGTGTAATGTGTGTGTCTGTGTACGCGTGTCTGTGTGTGAGTATGTGTACACGCATGTGTGTGTATGTGTGCGTATGTGTGTGAGTGTAAGTTTGCGCGCGCGTGTGTGTGTGCACGTTACCCTGTGTCTTCTGTTGGTTTAAGAGTAAATTGAAGCTGGTTAGTCACTGGTTGATCTTTCAGCCTGTATTTCACAGTTACAGCTCCTTCCTTCTTTCCTGAACTCTATAATGAGGAAGAAAGAGAAAATAACATTTGATGATTAAGGATTTTACAGGGCTCTTCAACTACTTCAATGAAATTTGTGATTGCATGTATCATATAGTGTCTAAACCAGGGCTGTCCGAACTCGGTCCTGGAGGGCCAGTGTCCTGCAGAGTTTAGCTCCAACCCTAATTAAACACACCTGCACCAGCTAATCAAGCTCTTACTAGGCATAGAAACTTCCAGTCAGGTGTGTTGAGGCAAGTTGGAGCTAAACTCTGCAGGACACCGGCCCTCCAAGACAGCCCTGGTCTAAACTAAATGTGATGCAACACAAGCAAACAGTTTGTCTAATGGCACCAGATGTGACAAAAATCAATCACAAATCACAGCCAATCAGAAGAATGTGTGGGCGGAGCCTCTCTTCCAATTCACTCCTGTCTCTAGTTTGAGAGTTTATTTGTTCTTGTTCTCTTTATATATTTTTTTAATCTTTGGTCAAATTCATATCCATAACGCTTTCATTTTGGCTATTAGTCACATACAATCATAAACTCAAATTAAACCCTTTTAACATGTAATGATCAGTGCGTCAGATGATCATTCAGGGACTTTTTTCAGATTTTTCCAGCCAAAAATGACTGAATTTGTGGTGGCTTTTCTCAAATTTGCTGCAATATTTGTAGCATTTTTGTTGTTGTTTTTCTGTGAAAATATACCACAGACATTCTTCTAACATTTTTAATACTTTATGACCTCATGAATACACATGTAAACTTTTCTCTTTTATGTTTTGTCTAAAGGTAAAAAAAATAATAATTTCTGACTATTTAATTATTTCAGGCTTTACAGGGGTAATAACAAGTCATTATTTTTATAATATAACAAAGAAATTTAAACATAACTGTAGACTACCTTTGTACACAACAATTACGGTACAAAGTAAACAAATGTTTCAAGCATATTAAAGTACAAAAGAATGCAACTAGAAAGTCTTTAAGTAGGACTATTTGTTTTTTTGTTGATGAACACTAGCAAATACAAACAAAAATATGAACAGACTTGAAAAGATGTAAAAGCTGTCTGACTTCCTTTCTTTTCGGTGACGAGTGTCAGAAACAGAAAGTAGTGCAGTCTGCTGTGTTTACAGCAGTAAAACTGGAAACTGCTGTATTAGTGCTGTTAAATAAGCGCCACCTACTGTCAGACAGTGAATTTACATTTTCATTCAGCATCTGCTTCGCTCACGTCATGCTGCTCATCCATTTTTGCAGGAAATCAGCAATTTAGAAAACTGCAAGCTCCTCCATGTATTGTGGAGTTCTGCAATCGCAGAATTGTGAAATCCTGAAGGGACCGATTATTGGGTGCGGATATACAGTTTATATTTACTTGTTTCAGCTGCAAGTCGCAAAAACAATAGTAAAAACTCTGATTTACATGGGAAAGATGTCATTTATCTAGGGCTGTCCACAACTAAACATTTTTCTAGTTGATTAATAGTCATTCCTTTAACCCATTAGTCAACTAATTGCATGTTTATATTCATTTAATTAAAGATACACTTAACTAATGGCTAATTAAACAAATTTTAATTCTAACTAGTGTTTTCTGCGTCAATGTCGGCTCCTAAGATGAAGTGGACGATGCTGACTCACCAGAGAGAAATGCACCTTTCGTATGGGTTACATAATCAGACAGTTTTTGTTTTTGATTTAATTTGTTTTGATTTAAAGTAGACATTTCAAGCTTTCGGCAGAAAATGCATCCTGATTGTTTTCTTTGTTTTAAAAAAAGCACAACATTTGTTGATATTGTGAGTGTGCACAAATAGAAGTAGACCCTTCACAGTTCCAAATTATGTATTACACTTATCTGTAATACTCCTATATGTTTCCGCTGTTATCCGGAAAGCATTGTCAGTGATCGCGCCATGCAGTAGCGCACTAACCGCTTCCACACTGTGGCTGTGTAAAGTTGCTATTGCGTACGTGTTTCAATTGATGACAGACAAGCGTTTAGATTTCCTGCCAGATATACTGTAATTACCTCAAGGGCCAGCTGTTAGCAACCTTTTTTTGTGACTAACAGACTAATACTGCCCTACAAAGGCAAAAACCATAAGAGAAAAATTACTTTTTACAGTCAAATAAATTATAGGTAGGACAATGGAAATCTGGCAATTATGTTTTAGTAATGAAAATAATCTACATAAAAATCTTGAGCTCAAACTTGATTTTGACCCCTGTTTTGGAGTTACTGTACTCTGACTTTGTATTGTCTGCAAAGTAAGAAGTCAAGCCAAGGCAAAAGGCAGTAACTTCCACATTATCAATATTTCGTTGCTGATCACCATTTACAAATCACTAAAGTAACATCTGTATAAAGTCTTGTGATCATGGGCTGTCTCATAGGCTATAACATATAGTAATGCGACTGTAATAATTGTTGTTCTGACCATAACGACCAGACAAAAAGTTAAATGTGAGTGGATACCGTTTTGCAACCAATTTATTTGCAATGTTTACTAACGTAAAAGGATGCAAGACGTAGCCTAGTTGCATTTACGTTGAATTGAATGAAAATAGCTTAAAAGGACGACTTGTGGATTGATGTGAACGGCAGCAAGTAGGAATAATGCTCAGAATGTTTGTGGATTAAACATGTCCGATGACGTTCATTGCCATGGATTTTATCGGATTACAAGAAAAGTTAGGATCTGTATTTAATTGCGAACTGTTACCACTGATTTTATGTGTGACCATACTACATGCTACGCGGTCACGGTATTCGAGTCCATACACGTGCAACTAGAGGTGGGCAGCCCCAGACTGACACGGAGTGAATAATCTGCATTTTATATATAATAAAAAATAAATAAAAATCTTTGCTTGTTTAAAGTTCTTTGTTATATGGAGTTTGGTAGATTGTGAGCCGTCTAATTCGTTTGTCTAATGAAGTGCTTCAGTGACAGATGTATGAAATAACAAGCGACACCATAATTTAAATGCAGCAAATTTTCATGAACAGTAAAACAAAGGCAGAATACTGTATAACTCCAGGCCAGCACAGTAACTTCATACTGACGCACGGCTAAACAAAGGCAGAGCAGCGGAACTCAATTTGAGTGCTCCAAAACAAAATCAAAGAGCGGTATCTGGTGATATACGGTGTTCTGCCTTGGTTTCTTCTGGGCTTTTCGAAGTTGCTGTTAAGATAACCCAATAATTTCTCGCAAAAACAACAAGATTGAATCAAGAGAAAACCAAGTTACGGCCTTTCGCCTTTGCACAGCAGAACACATTTTTTGTCGACTAAGCCGCTTAGCCTGCCATTTCCACATGTTGTATTATGCTTTGAAAACTGCTTGTTTTTCAATAGACATTTAACTTGGGTTTATGTTGAATAGTCGGCCCTACTTTTATCACATCTGGGTTAGGACAAATACATTTTTTCTTAAATCACAAAGCCACTCAAAAACAGCTGACATGTTGGATTTGGCCTGCGGTCTGCTTGCAGCCCTTGGTTTAAACAAATGAATGACGCCCATTAGATAAAACCATTCAAAGCCTTCACCTGTCCTTTAATCTGAGCATAGATGAGCGCCCTCTGACCCTGGAACAGAGTATTGATGGGGGGGGACAGCATGTCCACCGTCACGCCTTCAGGAACGGTCCAGTCCACAGAGATATTATCCACGGCCGGCTGGAGAGCAAACCTGAGCGACTGCATCACCTGACGGAGAAGAGAGGCTCGTAAATAAACACCCTAAACATCTTGCACTGACTCTATCCAGTCTGTTTCCACAGCAGGTCTTACTTTGGGCTGCATGCGGTCAGTGCCTGTGATGAACTGAGCGTGACCAGAACCTTCTCTGGCCATTCCTGTGATGAGAGCCGTACTCGCACCCTCACCGATCCCGAAGGAGAAGCACCTGCAGACACAAGAGCAGCTCCAGAGCTGACCGCCTGACATGAGATCAGTAAATGAGGAGGACTGAGACGAGTGAACACACCTGTGAGAGTAAACGTGACTCTTCACCAGATCCAGCAACTCCTTAGTGTTCCACACCTCTCCATCAGTGAAGATGAACAGCTGGGAGAGAAGAAGAGAGAGTAGTAAATTATCTCTGTTTGTTTTCCTGAAGGAATCTGTGAGAGCGTGGGTGTGCTGGCCGTGCTGAACCTGTCGAGGGGGATCTGGGTAACAGGGCTGACTGTAGATGTGTTTCAGAGGCTGGAGGATCTCTGTGCCGCCCATGTCTGCGCTCATGCTCTTTACTCTCTTCAGAGCCTCTTCCATCGTGTCCTCGCTGTACACAACACTCTGACTGCAACGACACACACCACAGTCTCTCTCAAAACCACAGCTAACCCACACAAAGTCACTCCTGAAGAATAATTAAATCTAGTCACTGACGGGAAGAAGGACTCAAAGTGAGATCCGAATCCGTAGATGTTGAAGTAGCATCCCATGGGCAAACTCTTCAGCAGCAGCAGCAGCGTGTCCTGGAGAGACACATGTGCAGATGAGCACGCGTGACTCAATACACTCAAATTAATGTGTCATATCTGAAATCCTAAATCTTACTCTTGCGCTTTCGATGCGCATCTGTGCGTCGTTCCCATGATGCATCTTGCAGTCCATACTGCCTGATCTGTCGACCACAAAAATGAACTCGCCCTGAGACGCCAGTGATGACATCACATCCGCAGGGAACTCTGGGTACAGACTGATCATGAGCGCCGGGTCGCCCATCAGAGACCCTGAAACATTTACATTTATTCATTTGGCAGATGTTTTTATCCAAAGCGACTAACAGTTGAGGAATACAACGAGATTTATCATAAGATGGCAATAAACACGAGAAGTGCCCTTTCAGTCAAGGTTTCAGTCATCGTTCAAAATAGTAAAATCTGGGACAAGAAGGTATAAAGGATAATAAGAGAACAGAAAAAGAGAAGACAGATTTTTTTTAATGTTTTTTTTTGTTCGATGCTCATAGAAGAGAGGAGTTTTCTGTTGTTTCCTGAAGATTATGAGGGACTCGGCTGTCCGGATGGAGTTAGACAGTACTGCGGTGAAAGGGTGTAAATGGCCTGAATTCTGTATGAACCGTGTTAGACTGCACGACTAATCAAAACTACCTGAACAACTAATCTGACGATGGTAAGGTCTTACGATGTGTAACGTATAGAATGACATAGAAAAACACATATGTCACAGAGCGTGACAAGCGACAACTGTAAAGGACTGTAAAAACCGCACCGTGTTTACTGGCTTTAACTCCCATTATACTTACACCAAACTGAATTCATGTACAAACAAAAGCATCATATCTTCCATGTTTCACTGATATTTGCACTGGATTGTTCAGAGTTGTACCTGACTGAGCCGCAGATGCTGCTGCCTCGACTACAGCAGAGGGCTGATGGGAATTCTCATAATACAGAAACAGCTCCACATCCTTATCGAACCGGTGACCAGCACTCAGATTCACCTACACACACACATGATTATAGGCTTCTTGAAATTGAGACATTAAGTGCATAAAAACTGTACACAGACACACACACACACACACACACTCTCTCTCTCTCTCACACACACTCTCTCTCTCACACTCGCTCTCACTCACACACACACACACACACAGAGAGAGACACACACAAAGAGAGACACACACTCACACACTCACTCACACACAAAGAGAGACACACACTCACTCACACAAACAGAAAGAGAAACACAGTACCGTGGCGTGAGTGTGCTGCGCGTTGAGGAACTCCAGAGGATCCAGAGCGCAGCTGGACTCGAATCTGGAGATGCGGTCTGAAGATCTCACTTCAACACTCAGAGACAGAGTGTAAGGAATAACTGATGCCGAGGAAACTTCTGGAACTACACCGGCCGCTGAAGCTGAGAGAATCACACAGACAAACAAAGATACTTTATAACTCAGTATCAATCTAGAGCCCAACAGCAGCTTCTGTTCTGACTGGAAGTGACCTGAGCATCAGGCTGGTTTAGGCTGCAGCTGATTGGTTGAGAATCGAAAGTGATCTGTAGCCAAGTGAACACACACACACACACACACACACACACGACAATTCCTGCCGGACCTGAGACTCGAAACCTAATGTTTAAAAGAACATCGTTTATTTAAAATAGAAATCTTTTGAAACATTTTACATTTCTTTACTGTCACTTTTGATAAATTTAATTTTCATATTAAATTCATGAATACACTTCTTTATTTAATCTTCTGACTTAATGTTTTCAACAGTGATGATAATCAGAAATGTTTCTTGAGCAGTGGATCAGTATATTAGAAAATACTTCTGTAATTAAGCTACAGAAGATGTGGACAGTCACTGCTGTGGCCTGTACAGGGTTATGATCTTGAGTTATTCATCAACATATCAATACATGTTGCTCCTGAGATCAGTCTTCATTAAGGTGTTTTACCACCTCCAACTTCCTAGAATATATTCTTATAGCCTTTGAATAGTCTACAGTGTAATGTTGTCCATCAGAACATCCGCTCACTCTTCTCTAAAAAATGGTCCACAGACTTTGGTTGACGTCCTTCATTCGACTCGTTTTGAAGGATGCAGCAGGTGTATCTTTCACATACTTCAATCACCCACAATCCTTTGCACATATTCCAATCATTTTTACACAGATTTTTAAGAAATCTTCAATTACAAAATACATGACTGGAAAAATTGCCTGCAGGAGCATTTTGAAATGTTTTACCTAATCATCTTGTAATGAATGTCATTTCAGTTCTACATACCGAGTATAAATTATCATATGCAGCGAAAGACAATAATAGAAAAAGACAAAGCACTTTAAAAGGTTTTGCCACAAACTCAACTGACTGGCTTCTCTTCTGTATGATTTCACATGAGTCTCTTCAGACCTTAGAACAGTACATGAATTATTATGAGCTTCTAGAACTTCTGATTGAAGCTGTGTGTGACCTCCTAACTGAACTCATTTCCACAAATTGAACATAGAAATAAAAACAGAACAACAAAAATAAATAAGTTTTTTTCTAAGTCTTAACTACAAACAATAAGTGCAACCATAATCAGAGTACTCTCTCAATATTCAAAATGCAAACAGAGACCAAGTTTTTCTTCCAGCATGATACAGAGTTAAGAGATGCTTACAGCTACACAGCCCAGCCTAAAGCCCAAAGTATACTTCACTTTTTTACATGTACACTAGAGTATGCGTACAGTCATATAAAGTAAACTCCAAATGTGCTTTAGAAAGCTTTATCTTAGTCCAGTGTCTGCTCTATTTTTCTTCAAACGTTATGACTGAATTTCTTTTTACTCTTAACGAAGTTGCCGCTTTCTCACAAGTCCAAGTCCATGTGCATGTGCAACCTGCATGTAGAAAGTACGTGCAGTTACAGAAATAGGATGGTGCACGCACTATTCTGGTGATGAAATTTGCGTCACGCGCGCTGTATGTGTGACCCTCACGTACACGTAAAAACCAAAGTATACTTTGGGCCTAAAGGTGTATTTATACTTCTGCGTTGGACCTAAACCGTGACCTCTACACCGTAGGCTATGCGTCGGTTTTATACTTTTGCATTGTTGTCAGCGTTGATGTGCAATTACACATGCATACCACTAGTCGGCAGTGTCCACGGGAACGTCGCTGGTGTAAACCAACAAAGGCAAAAGCAGCAGCAGCTTGTCATCTACATATCAGAAATATCAGCAGTGAGGCCGGCAAATAGACAGCGACTTTTGTTGTAGTTGTTGGTCCATCTTTGTTTTCACTGAAGTCGAGCCGCAGGCAGAAATGCATATGAGGAAACGCGATCATATAGCAGAATTATATATATTTTTTGACCTGAAGGTTTGTTTTTGGCCTGAGGCTGGTACGCACTCGTACACTGCTCCCCAGCTCGAGGTCGACGCATCGATCATGACCACAGTGTGTGCGGTCACTAGTCCCAGGGGAACCCCCTGCTGAACATTTCTGGGTCACGCCACAGCCTCAGAGCGCTGACGCAGCTGTGTGTGACCTCGATGCGCATACTCAGCACGTCCATGCTCTTCACGGGACTCGAGTTTTCAAAGCAGCAGCGTGTCCGTATGACTGATAAGCACATCTCTTGAATGGGCTAAAATCAGCCAATCGTCCAGATAGTTTATAATGCACAGACCGCTCGCTCGAAGAGGGGAAAGTGCCGCATTTACTTCGAGAATGTGCACGGTGCTAAAGTGAGCCCGAATGGGAGCACCGAGTACTAGTATGCTGTGCCCTCGAAAGCAAACCTCAGGAAGCGTCTGTGGTTATGAAAATATGAAAGTGTGCATCTTTCAGATCTACGGATGCAAATCAGTCCCCGAGACGGATTTGTGCCAGGATCTGCTCCAGAGTCATCATCCTGAATGCACACTTGTGAAGAATCTCTCCGGTCACTATAGCTGTTTTTTTCAGCAAAGTTCGTAGACTGGTGCATTGCCCCGTCAACATGGGAGAACATGACCCGTGTAGAAGAGTGGACGCGTGCCGACTGGGGTGCAGACCACGACTTCACCACTTGATCATGAACATCTGGGAAGAAAGGAATCCTCCTCCTTGAATCATTCAGGTGGCGTCTCAACTGGAAATACCAGGAGTCGTGTGAGCCCGGCAGGTCGATGGGGCCCATGCAAATCCTGCAGAAGATAGCCATCAGATGCGGTGAAGAAGCAGTCTTGTCTTCTGTTGCATCTTCAACGATGGCAGGGTGATGGAGAAGACTCGGAGGCAACTGTTGCGCTCAATGCATTTTATACTGCCCGCAGGCTTGTCCGTATGAGATTTGCATAGATTAGTGACAATTGGCCAGTTTATTGAGGTTTCAGGATTTCAGAGAAGGGGAGGAGTTCCCACAGTGAATGCTTCGCAATGTGAGTGAACGCTTGAAAGGGAACCGTAAGACTGTTCGGTTCCAAGCGCAGGCTGATTTGGTTCATTCTGTGAAGCCACACTACTATCAGGCCGATTATGAATGTAATTTGTACACAGTCTGTGTTTTCAGTCACTGTTTAAAGTAGTTTAGTGTGCAGTGACAAAAAAAAAATAAAAAATAATAATAATAATAATAATGTAAGACCAGCTGTTGCCAGTCACCCATACTGGGAGGATCGCGCTGCCTTTCCGCTATTGAGTTTAGGGCAGTATTTTGATTTTCTGTCGTGATTGTGAAAAATGTCACCATTGTATGTCATTCATGCTGCATCCAGAATTGCAATAGTAACTCGGATAATGTTTCTGAGAGAAAACTGGACCATGCAATATGTTTTTGTACCTTTTCTACGTGTAAAAACACAAGGGAAGCAGGTCGTGGAGAAGACGCCGGACAGTAAATCTATTAATAATGTCACTGATTAAACCCACTGCACAGGTTAGACAGTGATTGAACTCCTTTCTCTACCAGTCCGTCCGTCTCACATATCTGCCATGTTTGTAGTTCTAATCGAATCCTCGTCCAACGCACAATGGGTTGTGGGGCATATTAGCCGTTAGTGTGCATCGATCTGCACTTCGAATTCTAACGGAAGTAATAGACCATCCGGGAATATTTGGCATACTAATTTCAACATACTACGATTTGGGACATACGAATTCTATTTTCAAATACTATTTAGGACGGATAGTATGCGAATTGGGACGCAGCAGTATCCTCAGAGATTGTCTTGTTAGTGTGCATCGATCTGCACTTCGAATTCTAACGGAAGTAATAGACCATCCGGGAATATTTGGCATACTAATTTCAACATACTACGATTTGGGACATACGAATTCTATTTTCAAATACTATTTAGGACGGATAGTATGCGAATTGGGACGCAGCAGTATCCTCAGAGATTGTCTTACTATAGAGAGATGAGATTACTGTTGGAGAAAGCGTAACGGTCAACTTGGATCACGTGTGCCTTAATAACCATCACATTACAGACTTGACATCACTGAATCTCAGTCAGAGTCGTGCGACACTCCGTCATCGTTTACAGAGATCATAGGAATGAATGAGAAGTGCCGTAAGCTGAATCCCAGCGGACGCAAAAACTCAGTGACTTCTCTTATAAAACAGTGTAAACTCTAAAAATAGTTCAATCCAAAAATATTGCTTAGTGTAAAACATGTTGGAGATTAGCTGATAGTCTGTCGAGTCATTAAATAAGCAGTTTTTCCTCTAAAAAGAGGTTTATTCAGCGTAGCGAAGCCTCTGCTCCATTGACACCCATTCGAAAACACGGCCTCTGGTCTCCTTTCCCACGTGTTAGCATTAGCCGCTACGCTTTTTTGGCTAAAGGTTGCAGGGTTTTTAAAAAAATTTTTTTTATTAACAATAATAGAAAAATGTACAAATATTATAACATAATATAATAGAACAAATAAAACAACATGTGGGGGATACAGCAAAACATTTAAAAATTATTAAATAAAAACAAGATAAAATGAAGTAAAATAAATTATAATCATACAATCAAAGATTACAACTTATTTATACAATTTTCTACAGGATGGGATGTTTTTAAAGCTTTTATATTGGAGGAGATTCTTTGAAGTGAAGCGTGAAGTAAAAGTAAATCAGAAGTGAATATTTTACAATTAGGTTTAACATTCGAGCATCATGGTGTGTGAATGTGGAATTTTCCCTCCCTATTGTCAGAAACATCCGAATGAGAGAGAAACCCAACTACAGAAATGTTACACAGACGAAAGAATACAAGTAAAGATGCTGGAATCTGAAGCCAGAATCGTTTAGTATACGGACAGAAACAGAGTAAATGTGAGACATTCTTCCTCTTCTGGGCAAAAAGAGCAGAGCGGAGAAAGATCTCCGATGAATTTACTTAAATATTTGTTGCTTGGATAATAATGATGAATAATTTTAAAATGAATTTCTTTTATTTTATTATTAAACATTTGTTTGGCACTGTCCATACCTTCTTAAAATTAACATTTGGGTAAAGTGCCAACCCTTTCCATAAGCTTTATTAGATGAAGCATCACTAGCAGCAACAGTTTCTAAAAAAAAAATAGTTTGTACACTTATTATCCATAATATTAACCCCTTGAATAAATAGTTGAGGGATGATTAAACTAAAATTGCAATATATTTTGTAAGACTTAATTAAAAATAATAACTTAGGGGGGATAGAATTAGTAAGAGTAGTATATTCCCGTTTTGAAGCATTTATTCCATATTTATTAATAAACTCCTCATAAGCATATAAATCTCCACTGTTACTTATTAAATCTGAGATAAACACTGCCCTTGGAAAACCAATCAGGGAAGAAAACAGTGTTACGAGCTGATAAAATATACTGATTATGAGGGGAAATTTTGTTTAAAAATGAGCTTCCATGAGTCTAGAGCTTGCTTATGGACGTTTGAAAGTTTCATAGCGAGCCTTGTGCATTTAAAATCACAAGAAAGCAAAAATCGTAAATTTCCACAACTCTTGAAAATCAAATTAGGAACGGAATTTCCATTCAAACATTTTTTTTATCCAATTTATTTTAAAAATTTGGTTCAAGGTAAAAAAAAAGAAATCTAAGACTTTCTTCACCTGCCTTTGAATATGGTTGTGTTAAGGTTATGTCTCCATATGAATTTAAAATGAAGAGTTGATAGATTTACGAGTGTTAGAATCAATGTAAAGTGGTATAGAAGGATAAACAAAGCGTGAAATACCTTCAGCTTTAGATAACAAAATTCTGCCCTAGATTGTAAGATCCCTTTGTAACCACACACTGAATATATATTTGGCAGAATCTAATTTAGAAATTCCTTCCTGGGCAGATTTACAGAATAAATACCAAGATATTTAACAACATCCTTTCCTACAATTCCATCAACAGAGGTCACATCAGAATCACAGATAAACATTTCACTTTTTGTTTTAGTATAATTATATTTAACTACTAATCCAGACGCTTTAGAAAAAATTGTTTAGACTTTGAATTATCAAATTTACTTGACATTGATTTTTTGAAAAAAGCCTGTTTTGAGCTTCTTCTGAGAGCTGTTTATTTAAAAGATCAGAAATATTAAGTAGAGCTGCATATTTTTATTTTCAGAGGAAAGGTTTTAATAAAATAAATTTAAAGTTTTCTGCACTCAAATTTAAGGAGCTCCCATTTGTCAATAAAAGATATATCTGTCCTTGTTTTGATTTCATTAAGAATCATTCAGAAGCAGAGAACGGTTTAATTTCCAGTAGCCAGGATTATAGGTTCTAGAATTGTTCTGCTTCGATATTAAATCAATACCACAACGATCAGTTAGTGCTGCAGGACTACAGGAGACAGACGGCAAAGATGAAATCAAAGAAACAGAGACTAGCCATGAATCAAAGCGAGATGTTTGAGTTTGATCCGTTTTAAACCAAGTGAATGAGGTGGAACAAGGAAGCAGAAATCTGAACGCATCTAATCGAGAGACTGACAGAAACCAGAAATTATCGGATTAATAGCATTCTTCAAAATAATTAGGGGCTTCACTGAAATCTCCAATAATCAAGTAAGCAGAGGGGAACGTTTTTCAAGAACAAGCAAAGAAATCTCTGACATAAGAGTAGCATTCATATGGGATCTATTTAAACCATTAACTAAGATAAAATAAGATCCATCCATTTGGATCACAACCAATAACCATCTTCCTTCTGATGAAGACAAGAAATCAATTACTGATCCATTACATTTTTAACCGAATAAAACAGCGACGCCTCCTGCAGGCGAGTCCCATGACAAAATCAAATCTTATTACTCTCCTCCTCACATTAATGAGTTTCTTGCATGAAAAAACATCCCGGTTGTAAGACTTACAAAACAAAAATACTGATTTTCTCTTAATTAAATCTCGTATCCCCCGAACATTAAGTGAAAAACAAGAAATACTTAACATTAGTCAGCAATCTGAACTAAACAAACAATTAGGCAAAGGAGAAGAAAAAAAAGAAACTAACAAGTTTGAGCTTGCTTAGAATACAAAGGCAATCATGGCTTGTTTTCAAGAAAAATCGAAATGAAGAACTCTACTAACAAGGTTAAAGTGAACTGAAGTGCATATTTGGGTAACGATCAAATTTTATTGACATTTTGAATCACCATAAAGCTTGAGACTAAAACAGGATTTGGTTATGGAGCTTAGCTTCTACGTCTGCGAGCGCTCCTCTAAACCCAGCTTTCCCTCGTCTCTTGCTTCACTGCAGGACACAACTGCTGGCGGATTACTCTTTTGGGATATTCTCATTGTTAGATCAGGATTAGGAGCTTCTACACTCTCGTTAATCAGCTATCATTTCCCTCTGGTTTTAGGTTTAGGGTAGGGATCGGGTGAAGTCTGTATTTCTGGACAGTAATGTTGATCCAGGATCATGTCTTACTTGACAAAATCACGGCGACCGCAGCAACACACAGATAACATCTCCGTTTGTATTCATCCAGTTCCAAGCAAGACTGCCGAAGACATTCATCTTCTTTAGTCGGGGAAGAAACCCTATTCTGCAGAGACGCAACTCTTCTAGTGACGTCTTCGATTTCTCTGCCGAAGAACTGCACAGATGAGGAGCAACCAACCATTGCTCTTCAAGTCTGACTGTTTTTCCAATCGCAGCCAAAAGAACAGAGTCTGGCACATCGTCGTGCGGTGTTATACGCGACTGCTTGGCCACTGGACGTTTCTGGAGTTTCGGGTCGAGGGGTTACGTCAGCATCAGATGGTGATTGAGCACAGTCATGAGTGTGCATCGCATCCGTCTGAGAGTGATTTGCAGGAGCAGCTGAATTCGAGAAACTTCTGTTCTTGCTTTTTGTTGAACGTTCGCCCATAGTAAGTCCAACGACTCAAAAAGGAATAAAAAGCACAAAAAATCAATAAGCCACCAAAAACGATTGATAATACTTCACATTACAATGAAGTAAAACTTCACTCTCTGGTGGCAGGCTTGCCTTCTAGCTCTGTCGACAACTCTCGCCAGACAAATAAGCAACCGCAGCTTCACAAACAAGCCCAATATTTTTTTGATAATTTATCATCATCAATATTATTTATCATCAATTATTTATTACCAATAAATGAGCCCGCAACATATGAAACTGAAACTACCCTTTTATCTGAAAAGCAAAAACATGTTATTTTACAAAAATCAGCAAAGTGCAAGAAAGCAGGAACCAAACTCGTGTCCAGACTCCTGCAGCAGACCAGGACTGAAGAGACCAGGAGAACACTGGAGCTGTAACATAGCCACATGTTTATAGCCTACTCCAACCAAATCTACTCTTAGCATTAGTATAGGCCTACTTGTTGTGTTTTTTAACAGCCAGTGATAATTAATACATTAGAAAATCATTGTAAAAACTAGGCTGCCTTCTAAAGGAAAGGAGTGATTAATTACAGTGAGACTGAAGACAGAAGGCGCGTGCGGAGGGGGCGGAGTCTGCTGCTCTGAACAAATAAAGAAACACAGTTGCGTATAACACGCGGACCTGGCAACTCTGCCCTCTGCGGCGCTGGTGTAACGTTAGGAGAATAAGCGGCGCCTTCCCGAAATGCAACGCGGAGTGAAAACATCGTGACGCAATCACTAACATCTCATGCGTTACAGCAATCTGCAGCAGGGATGGGCGATACCCCTTATTTTGTTTTCGATACGATACCGATATTTTTCAAGGCAGTATCGTCGATATCGATACCGATTCGATACTTCTGCACTAAACTTTTAAATTATGAAATTGATTACATTATTAAATTACTAAGAGTAAAATTGGTAATGAAAACCACTTGACTTTGTTTAAAACGCATTTTGACTCGTTGAATCCCACATTTTTCCCAGACATGAAAACATCCAAATCATGTGTCATTAGTAACCCTTTGAAATAATAATTTAAAAAAAAATTTGTAACATATATCACCACATTTTTATATTAGTGCTACCAGTATTACAACATTAATATTCTAACTTATTTGTAACATTTGAACTTTTGATTTAGTGCAATATTTTGTACTGCCGTCAGGGACTGCCAGTGACTGGCTGTTGCATGCATAAAATGCAACCTTTTTGTTCTGACAGTGTATGATTTCTGTTAACATTACAGAATAGAACATGATCAATATTATCTTCCAACGTTCAATTTAAATAATTGTAATTGCACAAACTATGTAGGCTACAATTTCAGTTTGTTTATTGTGAAATAACTCAAACATTTATGTTGTTTTTTCTTCTGTCCTCTGATGAGCTTTGTTCAGGGCGGCCGTTCCCAGAAGCTTTAATGCTTTCTTATGATACTTTTGGGAACCGCAGCCCTGTTTGAGTGCGCTGTCAGCAGTGAGTGAACGCCCTCTGTGATTGATTAGTTCTGTCTTGCTACATTTGCATGTGTTCAGATGAGCAGGAAAATAGCTCTATCCTACACAATTACTGGCTAACAAAGGTTATTCGTCCAATTCGATGCATATTGTACGCATTATTATTATTATTTTTGTTAAATAAACAAAATCACTGGTAAATAAAATACACCTTAGTATCGATATTTTTTGTTTGAGTATCGATCGATACGCCCATCCCTAATCTGCAGCAGTACTCAGAGACCGGGGCTTTAGGTTATGTACCACACGGTTTATCATGCGTATACTGTGTCCTCCTGATTACTTTAAAGCAGGATCAAAGAAGAGAAGACTGGAGTGAGCTGATAACGCATGAAGAAATATAACCTGCTGCGTCACTGATTAACCCTTCCGTGGCGGACTGCATTATGGGTCCTTATGGAAATGATCTGCGTCTGTATTATTTAATGTGCTAATTGTTAGTAGATCAGCAGAACTAATCTGCTCTTATCCTCTGTTCTCATCATAATCATGAAGACTGCTCTAAGTTAAACTTTCCTGCATCATTATCAGTTCTGGATGTCCGACTAGTCCCGTATTCTCACCCGCAGCTTGTGCTCAACTCTGTTAAACTACTGTTTTACTGACTGAGAATACACACGAGTAACAACCACTGATGGGCGTTAGCGTCGTGCTGTCCAGCCCTGTAGATCAGCTTTAAACACCCGTCCGAGACTATAAAGCCATTCAGTCTGAGTAAAGAAGCACAGCTAAAGCAATGAGAAAAACTATTCACGAGAAACCGAAAGCGATGAAAACATTCCGACGAACTTCTTTGCTCTTGTACAAAGTGAAAGTAAACTTACTGCCTTTAAGAGTCCTCTGTGCTTCAGTGGATCAGATGAAGATGTTTGGAGAGAACACGCAGAAATAGCTGCAGATGTTAAAGGTGTGGCTCATGAATATTAAGCAGGCTGTCTCCGGGACCGCCCACAGCACGTCATAATTAACCTTTAACCTCTCTTAACATGGCACACTTATCCTGCAGATATGATTACACTGCACACAGTTGCCTCAGCACTAGCATTTTTGCTTTTCGGAGGATAACAGCATAGTTTCGTTCATCAATATGCCTGATCAGAATGATTAGTGACCATCTGTCATGAGCGAGCAATGTACAATCTGACAACACAAGCTGTGACAGTGAGCTGGATACTGTTAGTAATCAGGCATATTCGTATATTCACATTGCAAAATGTATTCAGCAGCTCCCAAGACTTCATCTATACTCGATACTGTATCCGTGATCCACATCTGCACAGACATAACATGATATAATGAATCCCACAACAACCACATTGTGTCTATATTTATTATTCTTTAAAAGAGCATCAACACAATCAAATCAAACATTACCATATGAAAATATGTAACAATATAAAAAGAAATCTACATTTTCCACCTCCAAACCCCCCCCATCCCTCACTATTCTGTTGCTTGAACTTGATCATCTTCAGTCTTTGAGAAACAAAGTGCATAAGTGAACAGCTTGTGTGTGTGCAGTCTTTTTTATGTGTTTTTTCTTCAGAAAATTGCATTGTAATTTTTATTTATTCACTGATGTAAAATTCTGTACTTTTTAGTAAGGCCGGTGTAACTGAAATGTTCTACAAATGGAAAAGATAGCTCTGCCATAGCTTTTCGGTCTTTTTTATTTATGTTTTTTATAATGTATTAAAATGTACTTGAGTGTGTTTGTAGTAATACAACTATACTATAAACATACTTGTATTTCAAGTGCATTTTTAATAATAGTATGTTTTGTTTTGTTTTTCACCAAAGTATATATGCTGCTGTCCTTTTTAGTGTACTTTATGAATATTTATAATGTACACAACAATATATAATACATTAAAGTAAACAAAGTGTGTACGTGTGTGTATATACTGAAAAAAGCAGCTTTATAATATACTAGTAGTGTAATGCTAATGCATTTCCAATGAGCTGAAATACAATTGAAATGTACTTGAAGTACATTAAAACAATACTTCAAATATACTTTAACTGTAGTTCATGAAGTATTAAAAGGACATTTTAAATGTATTTTAGGAAATACACTTAAATTGCACTAAATATACTTAAAGTGGTCCCATTTAACACAATTTCAATATATTAAATATTACAAATAGATTAAAATCAAACTTAAACACATCTTGAAATACACTTAATATACTTAAAGTTGTTTCAAAATAATACATTTAATATGCACTTAGTATAGTATAATTTAAATATAGTATGTCTGAAAAAGCACAATTTAAATATATTTCTTTTTCACCTGGGTGTTGACTATGTGTTACTAGTTTCTTTAAACTGGAGGCACAAAAGACTTAGAATCTATTAATGCCTTTTCATATTTCCGAACAGAAAGACATCAGCTGTTGCTTCGGTGTCTCACAGGGAGCGGCGGGACATGTCTGGGACCTGCGGCTGCATAGTGAACGAGGAGCGGTTTATATTCGGCGGCTGCTGTGATGATGGACAGACGAATGAAGTAAAGCTGCACTCAGTCTTCACGGTGTTCAGGTGCATCAGTAAAGCCACACGAGAGTCTGTTGTTTCAGCTTTACTCCGACAGCCTGCAGGACGAGAGGTGCAGCTGGAGGAGAGCGACTAATATGAGTGTGGATCTCCCGACAGAATCATCTACTTTGGTGGATATGGCCACAAACCGCTGAGTGCCATCCACGATCCGGAGAGCTTCATTGTGGATGAAGCATCATGGGTAGCTTGTGTTCACTGCGAAACTCATCACAACGCAGAGCTAATCAAAACAGAGTCATATCAGTGTCGCTTCTCTCTCTTCAGGCCGAGGACATCTTCTGGGGATGGAACAATGAAGTTCATGAGTTTGATCCGGAAAGAAGCAGCTGGACCGAACCGCAGACCTTCGGGAGTCATTCAGCTTCGTGATTTCAGTCGTGTTTCCAGCTCTATGAAGTTAGGAAGTACATGAGTGTGTGTTTAAAACAGTATGAAGTGTGTTTGTGAATGATTGTGAATTCATGGACATGGTCAGAAATGTAAGAGACGTCACATAGCTCCTCACTCATGTATATAATCCGCTCTTGAGTGTTATGTGTCTCGTCTGGTGTTTGTAGAGTTGGGTTGGGTCTGGCGCCTGTGGGACGCTCATGGCACACGCTAACAGCCGTGTCTGATACGTCTCTTTCTGTTCAGTGGACTCAGACCCATGAGTATGACGCACACAAAAACACAACTCTAAATTAATGCATAGTTAAAAAACTAAACTACAGACCTTTTTCTTTCTCCTCAGGTGATGGCTGGATGTTTAATCTGGAGACAGAAGGATGGACAGAGATGGAGCATCAAAACAAGGACAAACCGCGGTAGGTGAAAACATGCAGAAATGGAGATGGAAAGAATAAGATATTATGATTGCATTCCTCAAGCTCTCTTTCGCTCTGGTTTTCTAGTCTGTGGCACACCGCGTGTCAAGGAAGAGACTCAGATGTTGTAGTGTTTGGAGGAAGTCATGATTTTATCCTTTTAGTGGACAAAGTGAGTGTTGTGGGCTCCACGGTGTACCGATAATTCAGCAAACATCTGAAATCTGTAAGCCTGGGTCAGTGAAGATGATTTGTTTTGCAGGGCCACTGCAACGAGGCGCTTGTTTTCCAGACTCCGCCGCTGATGTGGTAACAATCACTGAACTGTGGAACAGGAATTATGGGCTGATGGAGAACAAACTGATGCGATGTATTTCCACAGATTGTGCCAAGACTTCATTGCAAGCCACACCGGCATGTTTCAGTACCAGATTCTCTGTTTACCACCAAAACTGAGAAACGCTGTGCACAAAAGGACAATTTTCTTCAGGCCAAGCACAGTCACAGAATGTGGAATGATTTGCTTTAAAGGAGACATATTATGCCCCTTTTCACAATATGTAATATAAGTCTCGGGTGTCCCCAGAATGTGTCTGTGAAGTTTCAGCTCAAAATACCCCACAGATCATTTATTATATCATTTTGAAAATGCCTGTTTTGAGTGGAAGCAGAAACAGGCTGTTTTTCGTGCCTGTCTCTTTAAATGCAAATGAGCTGCTGCTCCCCGCCCCCTTTTCTAGAATAGAGCTGCGCCATTACAGCTCGGACCTGCTAAAAACATCTGTTTTGGTTCTGATTATCATGTTTATCTGCTGAAATCATGCGTTTTAAACCATATGAGTTTAAACTTCTGATATCAACCCTCTACATTGTGAGTAAATCACTCGCATATGCAACTAAATCTGACTCTGGGCGACTAAATAATATCTAACATTAGCCATTGGCTAATAAATTCTTAGATTCTTCTCGCCAGTATGTGTGTGAGACGTTCAACGCAGATTTTCACTCGATAAACACTGACTGAGCGCTTGAGTGTTTCGCTCTCCGTCAAGCGATCTGTACTATGTGGATGCGCTCAATGGATCATGTCATGAACTCGATGGATGCGCAGTATGAAGCACGCAGCGCACCTGTATGTGGCGCACCGTAAACTAGTGTGAAGGAGCACGACTCGCCGGCGCTTTACTGATAGCGCTGTGTTCCTCACACATGCAGAGAGAGAGAGCGAGAGTCTTGCATACCACGCTGAATCGACGCGCTACATGTAAACCATATTCTATGTTGTATCTTCCTGTCAAAATAACAGAGTTAATTTAGAATTATCCAGCTTTTAAGAACAAGCAGAAGATATGCCGGTTTCTCGGCAGTGGGCGGAGCTAATGCGCGCACTGCTCTCGTTGGCTGGCGCTCATCTATTACCCTCCCTGTTTTGATTTCAGCAAATCAGTTCGAGGGAACGCTGACAACATGATTAATATTCATGAACCCAGCAGATAATAGTAGTAGTATCTTTTAATAATAATTACTATTACCTATGACCAACAATATCTTAAACACCACCACCGAACTAAGTTCAGATAAAATGACAAATGTTCATTCATTCATGGTTACCAAGTTTTAGTTCTAATCACTAGTTCTATCATTATATAGTGCTTAATTATCATAATATCATAATATAATGCTTGATTGGCGGAAGATAAGAGTGCACATTCAGTTATTTAAGAAGCTGTTCCATTTTACAAAGATAAG